GTAAGCAGGATTGGATGGGAGCTCACTACTGCTTGGTCGTCCAGTTCAGTTTGTTACAGAGGCTAGCGCCATTGCTATGCGTATTTTCAGCGCCAGTTCGTCTGACGGATTAGCAGAGTGATTTGCCGTGTAAGGCGGTGATGAAAAACACAGGATGCACTCCGGAGTGTTACAGTAGAATAGGTGATATCTGATGAATGGGTCGGGTTGGTAAGCCATGTTGAGATTGGGGAAAGATGAGAAGGGACTGTCATGAACTATATGAAGCATGATTTCCATATAAAGTTAGTAATTATCGCTACATTTTTGCTCATATACTACCGTTATTAGATGATGGAAAAATACATTACATCCTTTTATTCTGTTTTCCAATATCAAATTGGAACACTTAACGCTTGCAGTAATTTATTCGTCGGTTAAACAAATGGATGATATTCTCCGACCTACGATTTTTGGTCGGAATAAACTGGAGGCTGTTGTACGTCACATTGACCATATGGCTACGATTCCGTCATAGCCCGAAAAGTATCGTGTATGCACGCCATTTCTTAGCTACCTACAGACGGGAACCCAGGCAAGCTGTTAACCAGTTCATTCAAAAGCCGAAATCAGTCGCTAAAGATTACGAATTCAAATCAGTATCAGCTGTGAAACATACAAGTGAGGTAGTCGGAGATGTATTGATAACCGGACTGCAGTCAAGCACCGTTCGGAAGAAACTGCTAACCTGGCATAAATCAAACCCCGCACGATCCCTCCAGTTTGCGCCTAGCTACACGTTCTTACGTACTTATTCTATGCTTACGCTTTTGTCCTCTGTATTTATCGAAACAACGGTTCCTGCCGCTACCGAAGGGTGTTACTTTTATGGTAACCCCAAGCACCGTCATAATAGGTTTTCTGCTGAAGAATCGGTCTGCAAATGTTTTGGGAAAGTAGGGCACTTTAATGCAGCTTTAGATCCTCGGAGTATTACGTGGGTTCGTTCAATATTCCTCACTTTCATCACTCTGTAGTATTGCTCCAAATGCCTGTATAAGACTACAGCAGATATTTTGTCAGCGGCGTTCATGTCTGATCTCTTGCTGTTGCCGGCAGCTCCAGAAGTTTAGCCTCTTCAGTCCTACACGCACATACCTGGAAATTATTTCCGTATGATTCCGTGGTAACAATGGCGTTGACGACACCTGTTCCACCAAAGGTTATTGTCTTGTGTCCATCCATTACAAGGATGCTATATAAGAACGTGCAGGCCACGTCAACTGGTGGGCCGTTCAGACGTCTTTTTCGGACATGACTTCTTGGGGTTACGTGATAAAGTTGAAATTCCATTCGGTGGCCGGTGGGGTACCCCAACTGTATGTTGTGACCGTGTTAGCTGGGTGATTTAGGAGTTTGATGGGACTCACTCTGTCACGTTTGATAGTCTAAGTACGCAAGTGGGAAATCTCAAGGCAGAAAACAAGGGAAACCGGAGGACGATAGGATATATTGCGGATGAACCAATGGAATGGTGTTGCAGCTCAGTTGGTTATAACAGAGAGAAATTGAAATCTGAGTGAAGTACTATAAAAGATTGAATAGCTCGTTAGGATGACCGTTCTTACGCCTTCCCTTTCAAAATGTGTGTAGGCTTTCATCCGATCTACCTGTATTGGTACAAGTGGTTTTGGGTTGTGGCTGGACCACCGTCTTGGTATGGATTCGACTGGAGGTTCGTCCTTTTGTGCATGTGTGAACAGTAACTCAAAACTATCCAACAATTTATCCAGAGGAATCGAATTATCTGATGTAGCCGGTCCAGCATCTCCAGAATGAAGCCGACTCCGTGAAGAACCCATGTGGCAGACTGCACTTCGTATGTGACGTTACCCATACGGCGCTTGATATAACCGTGAGTCATCATCATCGACAGCATGACATCACATCTCAACATTGATGCTTCACTGCCGTACAGCCATGAGTTTTTTCAAAGACTTATTGTGAAGAAAAGAGTAAAGGTGGACGGGGGAGAGACCTAGTGCTAGCTTACCCCAATCATTCAGAGGTACCTACACCCCCAGACATTCACTCAGGCAATCTGGATGGAAACTGACGACGAGAACGCCACTAACCTCGATTGGCAGCCATATCTTGTAGTGTCTCCAACCAGGCACAGTGAGGATCATGCGGTCCCCATCCTGGAAGGCGAGTAGCACCGACAGCACCCAAGCGTTTCGTGATCTCCTTCA